CTATGTTCATGATATTTCAAAATTTTACATGCCATAAATTGATCAGTCCAACTCACCGATCCTTTCAACTTTCCTTTATTCGCCGATTGCTGTTTTGGTAATTCTTCATACAGAATAAATCTCACCACCTCGACAACAGATCTCAAACTGGCGTTCGACCTTTCGTGTCGGTAGTACTGCATCAAACATTCATCTCTCGATATTATACATAATTATATGAAATTATTTTTAGGGAAAAAAGATAAAGAATTAGGGTTACAAAATCACATAACCAATTAATTAATCAAATTACCATGTCACATATTCCCTTAACCCGTTTTCTTTGGGTAATCCTCCAGCCATCTAGTCTTTCAGAGAAAGACAACTGACGCGAAGTGGGAGGATCAGTTTCACTCCCCTCAGGCACTAACTGTAGCCATCCACAAAAAAAATCTAATTATATTAATATGAGGCCCTCATATGATTTCAACATGATATATATTACTTCAATTATATATACCGTATCAACATTTGCATCCTCAGGAAAATCATCAGGCAGTTTAAATGAGACTGAGAATTCTCCGGTCAGCGTGGTCCTCGATCTTGTCTGCTTTGCTTGGGGTGTTTCCTGTGACTGAAAATGCAAAGCAAATTATGTGAGAATAACAATCATATCTAGAAACCCCAACCCCAAAGCAAATTACAGATTAATTGAGCAAATGGTGAAACCACATACAGTACTGGTTACGATCTGCAGGTTTGTGGTGGTTTCATCTGTCTTCGATGTAGACATGCCTTTCAACTCTGCTATTTGTTTCTGTGTAAAAATGAAAATGTTCAGAGCAAATTTAACCTGTAATTAAACCCTAGCAGTTTTAATTAAAGACCGAGGACAGGAGGAATTGAGAGGCAGTGACTTACGGCGACCACTTTTTTAAGTGTTTTGAAGAGTTGCGATTTCTCCAACTCTTTGTTAGGGGTAGTGCTAGATCCCTCCATTTGCCTAGTACTTTTTTGATTCACATTGGACTGTATCTCATGGGGATCCACGAGAACTGCCTGAGGGAAGTTAGAGAAGTCATTTTCCTCCGAGGCACAAGCAGCTGACACCAATACATCCAGGGAGGAGGGTGTTGATGAATCAGACATCTTGATCAACGAGAGAGAGAGAGTGAAAGAGAAAGTGAGAGAGAGAGCGAGAGAGTTCGGAGCAGCAAAGCAAGGAATGAGATGGTGAAGGGAAAGTGCTCTAGGTTTATAGGGATCAGAGAAGGTCATGTACATTCACCAAGCAGTGTCTGCAAAAAAACGTGAAATGATAGAGCTTTCATTTTGTTACCAATTGTGAAAGGTGGTGGTATTGACAAAAATCCAGGGAAATTGCTTGACAATATCTAGGCCAGATTCTCACACTAGACATTTAAATTCATTGTCCCAAACCCAAATATGATAAGCTTACCATATTTACTGTATTACCATCACTGAAACTTTCCTAATGACGTCAACCAACAACCCAGAAATAATCTAAACCATTCATCATCTGAACACTGCCTCTACCAATAACCTAGATGGCACCAAACCTACAAAACCACATCGGGATTATCAAAATTGACACGTATGAAGAGTTAGTGCATGGCCTTGTCTTCACAGGCTATGTGTCATTTGAAATTCAAAACCCCCCCACTCATATTGTAGATTACAACTTTCTAGTGGTATCCTGCGATGGTTTTTCTTATGGCCAAGTTTTGCCACACCTTCTTCCATAGTTTTAAACCTTAGGCAATTAAAATCCTCATCAGATTGTGTAATTAAAACCACTCAGAGTCTCCTGAATTTGCAATTGAAGTTACAGGTCATGCCATTGGAGAAACACTTGCCTACACCCTACTTGCTCTTGCTAGCTTTACATCTGAGTTTTTTCTCCCTGCCATTGGCCCACGCCACAGGTCCAACGTCTAGTTGCTTTTTTTGTTGACTTGTTTCAGACATGTATATTGTGCATGCATGATACGTGGACCTCTTTGTTTTTATTTTTTATTTTATTTTAGTCATAAACTTTCTTCTTCTTTTTTTGATACGATGAGTCCTAAACTTTCAGTTTTGCCAATGTAACGGAAAGAGTAAAAAAATATTACAAATAAAGGTTGAAGCTTAAATGCCACCCCCAATGAACTCACCTGCACCCTTTCGGATTTAAGATATTTTGGATCATATTCATACATATATCGTATAAGTATCGATAATATCGGAAAATATCGATGTAGATAATTTCTCTCATACTTCAGCAACATTTGGCCAAAATATCGCTATAATATCGATAATATCAAGATGATGAAGACATTAAAAAATTTGAAGAGTTATTTACACTAACATCCCATGAGATTTCTTGTGTTTTCACAAAACCCCCTCAAGTCTAAAAAATTACATGAACACCCCCTGGGGTTTCAGTTTGTTTTCACAAAACCCCTTTCATTGATTATTTGTCCAAAAATTTATTATTTCATCGAAAAAAATACTTATGCAAATGACAAAATTAACCTCAATGAAGTATAGCAATCTAATCTCAAAGGCCAACTTTGTCATTTGAAGAAAGGTTAATTACAGTTTAGTACCCTGTAGTTACACCCTTAAGACATGTTAGTCCATATCTTTTAAATTTTTACAATCACATACCCCGATCTTTTAAATTTGTTATAATGCGGTTCCACCGTTAGGGTTTCTGTAAGATCTCTCCCTTAGTTGCCTGCGTGGCATTTATGAGTCCCATATTTTATATTTTTTTATATTTAAGTGTAATAAAATATTTATATAATTTTTAAAAATCAATTTTTAAAAAAGGCAAAAAACCCTCACCACCCATTTTCTTCATCGTCCAATGGAAAAAGAAAGAAATAGGTTCATCGCCAACACCACACCACCCATTTTCTTCATCGTCCAATGGAAAAAGAAAGAAATAGGTTCATCGCCAACACCACACCACCCATTTTCTCCTCAGATCTGAACCCTCTTCTTCTTCTTTGTCAGTTGCAACCTTTTTATCAAGCCCTAATTTTCCAGAGACTCTTTTTTATTTCCCCTATTTTCAAGCAATGGAGAAGCAAAAACTAAACCCAGAAATCAGAGAATTTGGGAAAGGGAACCAAAAACTTGCGACATAGATACTTAATGAAAAGCTCTTCATTTGTGACACAAAATCAAAACTTGAAAAGTTTCAAAACTTGGAAGTTGAATGCAAAAAATTTCAGAGAGAGAGGTCAAACTCTTCATCCTCCCTTGCGAACTCAAACTCCAGATCCCATGGTCCCTAGTGCACCCATACCCGACCCAATAACTCAAAACGACTTCGGCAATATCCGATGAGTGAGATGGTGCCTAGATCTGGGAGGTGATTGAGAGAGAGAGAGAGAGAGAGATGCAGTTGGTGGTTGGGTTCGTAGGGCTAGGTGGAGATTGATTTTTGCGGAGAAGAAATTTGAAGGTTGGGGGGGTGGAGGAGGAGGGCAGAGGGATGGGTCTTGGTTTGTGATGGGAGAGAAAAAATTGCAAGAAATCGTCTTTTGGTCTTTCGTACAAACCCTAGTAGCATAAACTAAGATTTGTTTTTCTTCTCTTTTTCTTCAATTTTTCCAAAATTTTTATTTTTGTATTCATACATTAATCAATTAATTTTTTTTAAAAAAAAAAAAATGGGACCCATAAATGCCACGTAGGCAATTAATGGAGAGATCTGACGGAAGTCTTAACGGCGGAACCACATTGTAACAAATTTAAAAGATTGAGTATGTGATTGTAAAAATTGAAAAGATAGGGACTAACATGTCTTAAGGGTGTAACTACAGGGTACTAAATTGTAATTAACCCTTTGAAGAAATTTTGTTTTTATAAAATCATCAATCTTTGGATGAAAAATCAATGAAGAAGAGTTTTGTGAAAACAATTTAAAACCTCAGGGGGTGTTTTTGTAATTTCTAAAACCACAAGGAGTTTTGTGAAAAAACCGAAAACTAAAGGGGGTGTTGGTGTAAATAACTCAAATTTAAACCTTATAGGTCCATCATGCAATGCATTTCTTTTTTTTTCTTTTTCTTTTTTTGGTGATAAAGTAATAGATAATTGACTAAATAAACATCCTTCAAAGTTTCAAGAAAAATTTCCAAGTTTTTCTTACAATTTTTGTGGTTTTTATTTATATCGATAATTTACATCGAATTTTCTGTGTTTTTGGACCACCAATATTTCCAAAACCATCGATATTTTAGACCTTGGCTCCTACTCAATTAGGATCAAGTATGGGTAACAACAATTGGGCATGGGTCGGGTATGGAAATTCCACCTCCACCCAACTCCCATCTGCCCTAAATCACACCACCGACTTCGTTGTCAACTCTTTTCTCATTCTCTATTTCTCTCCTTCCCAGCATAATTCTATAGTTCATAGGCCTCGTTCGGTGGACGAGCCTAAACACCACTATTATATTAGGCTTTAAGTCATCTCTAGTTGTGACCCATGTTTGAGCTTGGGTCACAGAGTCCCTCATATTTCAAACTTTTGTCCAAGATTCGTGTCCTAGTACAAAATGCATTTAGGCTCACTAACATGAAGTTATAAGGAGGTCCTAATAGCCGTTCGATCTTGTGCAAAGTTATTATTGAACTGCTAGATTGAACCTTCTTTATTGTAACCTCTCAGCATAACCCCTCGTTATAAAAGCTCCCGCTCACCAAATACTAATCAAGACTCTTGTTCAATTTACCTGAGCATCTTCCCATGTAGCAATTATTTTCTCAAATTGGGCTGACCTCTTATTTTCTCAAGTCGGGTTGCGATGTCCACACAATTCCATAGCCCACATAGCAGTCCCTTTCCCACTTACCCAATGTGGACAAGTAAAAAGTGTGAAACCATCCAAACACAAATGGAATGAAACTGTGAGTCTGTGATCAGAGCAACTGCAGCAGATAATAAAAAAAATGTAAACAAAAAACAAAAAAAAATTTAATTAATTCAAGCCAACAACACACAACAATTAACTGCGAAGAACATAATTTTACACGCAATCTTCGACAAATATCCCAATCCTACTCTTATATTATATTCGCAGTTCTTCTCTCTCTTTCTCTCTTGAGATAGATTCTTCGAGACCTTCATAAACAGCTACGCTCATACGACAATTTGGAAGGGAGACTGGAACTTAAATTCAAGCTAAGTTGGTGAATTAGGGGTTCAAAAAATTGGCGAGACCGACGAATTAGGATGAATTGTTGTTAGGGTTTAAATGCACCAGATTATTTTATTGTGAAGTAATCCTGGGGAGTGAAGGCTCTCGGTTTAAGCGGTGTTTGTGTTGCGTTGATTGGCTGGTGCGGTACTGGCGTTCTGGCGGTTCCGCTACCATGGAAGTCGATTCGCCTCCGGAAATTACACCCCTCCGGCCTCGTGATCGAATCATACGGGTAGGCCTTGTGATTTTTCTTCTTTGATTATCCGAATTTTGATTTTGATTTTATTTTCCAGTAGTTAATTTCTTGAATTATCGAGCAACTGGAGCTCTAATTGATTTTCTATCGTTGAGGCATTTGCGATACAATTAATTGGTCATTTGTAGTTGAAAGCTTGTCCCTTTCTTTTGTCTCTCGTTTTCTTTTAAACTGTTTGGGCTGATTTATATTGTATTACTTGTTTGGGTAAGTGAATGCATTTGCTGGGAAAATATTACCTTTTTAAGTATAGTCATATATACTTTTGACTTTCATATTCCTATTGTAGTGTAAAGATATATGGGTTACAAGTGGGTTCACATTTGTTTTTTTAATTTATACCAGAGGCTTGCTCTATTGGGAGTGCCTGAGGAGTTTCTTGATCAGTTCCATCGTGGGTTAGTTGCTTTTGTCAAAAAGAACAAGCAACGGATACCAGAGCTAGTTTCTGCTATATTACCTGCTGATGAGGAAGTAGCTGAAGTTCTAAATGAAGCTAAACCGGGGTCTAAAAGACAATCAGCAGCAGTAACCATGAAAAATCGATTCCGTGAAAGCATGGCGTGGTTACAGTGGTTGATGTTTGAGGGTGAACCTTCTTCAGCCCTGAGGAATCTCTCCAAAATGAGTGTTGGGCAGCGTGGTGTTTGCGGAGCTGTTTGGGGGCAGAATGATATAGCATACAGGTGCCGAACATGTGAACATGACCCAACGTGTGCAATTTGCGTTCCGTGTTTTCAGAATGGGAATCACAAGGATCATGATTATTCTGTTATTTATACTGGCGGTGGTTGTTGTGATTGTGGTGATGTTACAGCATGGAAGCGTGAAGGCTTTTGCTCAAAGCATAAAGGTGCAGAACAGATACAACCCCTTCCAGAGGAGTTTGCAAACATTGTGGGGCCCGTTCTTGATTGCGTCTTTGTTTCTTGGAAAAATAAGCTACTTCTTGCTGAAACTACCTACCGGGAAACCCCTAGAGCAAGCGATATTGTTACAGAGTGTAAGAAGGTTGCAAATGAGTTAACTTTTGTTGTGGTTGAGATGCTTCTAGACTTCTGCAAACACAGTGAAAGTTTGCTGAGTTTTGTATCTAAGATGATTTTATCATCAGGGGATTTATTGGGGATTCTTGTGAGGGCAGAGAGGTTTCTGACCGAAGCTGTTGTGAAAAAGCTCCATGAGTTGCTCCTGAAATTGCTGGGGGAACCTATTTTCAAGTATGAGTTCGCAAAAGCATTTTTGTGTTATTACCCAGCTGTTGTAAGTGAAGCCAGAATGGAATTCAGTGACGTTTCTGTAAAAAAGTATCCGCTGCTCTCTGTATTCTCAGTACAAATCTTCACAGTGCCAACTTTAACACCTCGTCTTGTGAAAGAAATGAACCTACTGCCTATGCTGATGGGATGCTTGCAAGATATTTTCGTTTCCTGTGCTGGTGATGACGGTCGTTTACAGGTAATGCATTTATTTTTGTCTTTCCTTAAGTGCTAGGGTACAATATGATCATACCTCTGCACGTTCACCTCCTTTTTCCTGACGTTACTTCATGATAAAACTGATGACTTTGCCACTTAGATTGTGTACTTACTTTGCTTCAATTTGAAGGCGTGCTGTATATTTTTATGTATTCTAACTAGAGTTTTTTTTATGCCTTGCTTTTGGAGTTATTTCAGTTCGTTTTTTTCTGGTTCTTTTGTTCCTATTTTGGTTTTTATGGTGCATTGTGATTGGGAATCTGATACTTTTATTTTGTTTCTTCAAATTTCTGTTGTGGCTCCTTTTTTTTTTTTTTTTTTCACTCCTTACAGGTTACCAAGTGGTCAAATTTATATGACATCACCATTCGTGTCATTGAAGATATTCGATTTGTTATGAGCCATGCTGTAGTGCCCAAATATGTAACTCATGACAAGCAAGATATTTCAAGATCTTGGATGAGACTGTTGACTTTCGTGCAAGGGATGAATCCACAAAAAAGGGAAACAGGCATCCGCATTGAAGAAGAAAATGAGAGTATGCATCTGCCATTTGTTCTAGGCCATTCAATTGCCAACATTCATTCTCTATTGGTGGATGGGGCATTTTTTGTGGCTAGCGACAAGATGGATGAAGACTTTCAGGATATGGATGACAGGGATAGCCTAAGACATGCAAAAGTAGGACGGTTGTCCCCGGAAAGTTCCGTATGCAGTGCAGTGGGGAGGAGTAGTTCATTTGCATGTGCATCGAAGGTTTCTGAAGATAAATCAGATGCTCTTTCTGATTTGTTGATTCCACCATCTGTAATGTGGCTAACCTATGAGTGCTTGAGGGCCATTGAGAATTGGTTGGGAGTTGATAATACCTCCAGGGCTCTTCTTGATGCATCTTCTCCAAGTACTAGCAATTTCTCAGGTAGCAATTTTTCAGCACTGAAGAAAACATTATCCAAGATCAGGAGAGGCAATATATTTGGTAGAATTGTCACTTCAAGTGAAGATCATGGCAAGCAATGTTCATCGCTTTTATATAGTGATTGCAATATGAGTGTTGACTTCCAGAATGGTAAAGTTGCAGGCCAGGAAACTAAATTAATGGTTCCCGACGAAATTGATTCAGTTAATGCATGTAGTCCTGCAGGATTGGATGATAGTGCCATGGAAGTAGATGGTGCCATGGACTTAGATGCTTTACGTGTTCTGAGTTCGTCGGATTGGCCAGACATAACATATGACATTAGTTTGCAGGATATATCTGTTCACATTCCTTTACATCGGTTACTTTCCTTGCTTTTACAGAAAGCATTGAGAAGATGTTTTGGTGAAGTGCCAGATTTGGCTAGTGCTACTTCTGCAAATTCATCTTCAGCTATTTTGACTGACTTCTTTGGAAATTTTCTAGGGGGCTGCCACCCATATGGATTTTCTGCCTTTGTTATGGAGCATCCCCTTAGGATCAGAGTATTTTGTGCTGAGGTTCATGCTGGAATATGGCGGAAAAATGGGGATGCTGCCCTATTATCATGTGAGTGGTATCGTTCAGTTCGCTGGTAAGTGATTTATTCTTATCTGACACATGCATTGTGGGGGAAAAAGTACCTCTTGTAATGATTGGTTTTTTTATTCACTCTATTTTTTTTTTCTTTGTCTTCATGTTTGGCCCTTTATTATGATTTTTTATTTTTTATTTGCAGGTCTGAACAGGGTTTGGAGCTTGACCTGTTTCTGCTTCAGTGCTGTGCTGCCTTGGCTCCAGCTGATCTTTATGTTAATAGAATTGTAAAACGCTTTGGTCTGTCAAGCTACCTTTCTTTGAACCTTGAGCGCTCGAGTGAATATGAAGCAGTTCTAGTGCAGGAAATGCTAACTCTTATTATACAAATAGTCAAAGAAAGGAGATTTTGTGGGCTAACTAAAGCTGAAAGTTTGAAAAGAGAGTTGATTCATAAATTAGCCATTGCAGATGCCACTCATAGTCAACTGGTTAAATCTCTTCCTCGTGATCTATCTAAGTTTGATCAGCTTCCTGAAATTTTGGATACTGTTGCAGCATATTCCAATCCCTCTGGCTTTAATCAGGGGACATATTCACTACGATGGACATTTTGGAAAGACATGGATTTGTTCTACCCTCGTTGGAACTCAAGGGATCTGCAAGCTGCAGAAGAAAGATACTTGCGTTTCCGTAGCGTTTCTGCGTTGACCACTCAGCTACCGAGGTGGACTGAGATTTATCCTCCTTTCAAGGGGGTTGCTAGAATAGCCACTTCTAAAGCAGTCCTTCAAATTATCCGTGCAGTGCTGTTTTATGCTATTTTTTCTGATAAATCAATTGATTCCCGAGCTCCTGATGGTGTTCTTTTAACTGCATTGCACTTACTCTCATTAGCATTAGACATTTGTTTTCAACATAAGGAATCTGGTGATCAGTCTTGTTATGACGGAGATGCAATTCCCATACTAGCTTTTGCTGGTGAAGAAATTTATGAAGGACCACATTTAGGCGCTGGCCAACAAAGCTTGTTGTCACTTCTTGTGATCTTGATGAGGATGCATAAGAAAGAGAATTTAGACAATTGTTTGGAAGCTGGGAGTGACCTCTCTTCTTTAATTGGAAGCTTATTGAAGAAGTTTGCAGAGATCGATTCAGGATGTATGACCAAACTGCAACTACTTGCACCTGAAGTAATTGGTCATGTATTACAATCTTCTCCAAATGGTGACACATATACCTCAGGTTCAATTTCTGACTCTGAGAAGCGCAAGGCAAAAGCCAGAGAGAGACAGGCTGCCATTTTGGAAAAAATGAGAGCCGAGCAATCAAAATTTATGGCAAGCGTTAATTCCACTGTGGATGATGGCTCAAAATCTGAGCAAGAGGTTTGTAACCCTGACATTGAAGATGATTCAGAAGAGTCTGCAGAAGTTGTTTGCTCACTTTGCCATGATCCCAATTCCAGAAATCCCATATCCTACTTAGTTCTTCTTCAGAAATCTAGGCTTTTGAATTTCATGGACAGAGGTCCCCTTTCATGGGAACAACCTCGCTGGATAGACAAGGAGCACATCTCTACTATCAAAGGTGTGGTGACTGATCAATCTGAAACAAGCTCTTCGTCAGGTGGTTCAGGGGTGGTACCATCTTACCCTTTAAAACAGTTGGTTCAGGATGCAGTCACTGAATTTGCCTGTCATGGGCAACCTAGGGATGTTGAGGCTCTTCTAGATTTTTTCAAGGGCCGGTTCCATGAATTAAAGAATATCCAAGTGCCACGTGAATCAAATGATGAAAGTGAAAAGACTTTATGTACATTTGAGACAATGGAAGACACTATGTACCTCTCCATCCAAAAAGAATTGCATGATAAGATGCTGCATTCTAAGCTTACAGAGGATAAGGGATTTTCAACTCCTGAAGGGGATCAAGAAAAAACTGAGCATGCTGAATTTATGTTGCTTGGCAAATATACAGCTGCTCTTTCTAGAGAGACGACAGAAAATTCTTCATCCTCTGAAAGTCCCAATGAGAAGGTGCCAATAGATTCTTCTCGGTTTTCAGCATATGATGGATTTGGCCCGATAGATTGTGATGGAATTTATCTTTCTTCCTGTGGGCATGCTGTGCATCAGGGATGCCTTGATCGCTATTTATCTTCACTGAAGGAAAGGTAAGCCTATCAAGAGCAGAAGTTTTCAATCCTTACTTAGTAATATAGGATTTCTTTATCACTCTTTTATCTAATTTTTGATTTATTTTGCAAGAAAGGTAGAAGTTTTAATTTTAAAAAATGAAACAACTGTATTAAGATATTTTGTTAAGAGACAATCACATTTAGATGTAAACGAATTGGAGAAAAAAGGCTGATTAAGTTGGACTTCCATTGCAATTGAATATCAAGGAAACAGTGTTGACAATTTGCAATTGCCTTGTTCTTTGGGAAGAGTCTGTGAACTATCAAGTTTGCCTTTCTGATGATTCTGTTTATTTTTTTTATTTTTAATTTCTTTATTTGACAAGTTCTAGCGAAAGGGCTATGTTATAGTTTGCCAGATCAAATTGTTGCTAGTAAAATTGAATTTCATGCTTAAATGGTTATGTACTTATGATGCAACAACCAAAGAGAAAAAAAGTCAGATATACATATATCATATATGTCGCTCTGGAAGAATGTTGACGTGCTAGTGAAAAGGGCTTAACTTCCCCCATCTTCGTATCTGTTCGTGCAGGTATCTCAGAAGAATTGTTTTTGAAGGAGGACATATTGTAGATCCAGATAAGGTACAAGGCCTACATATTTTTCCATTTTTCATTCTTGCTTGTGAAGGGAGGAGGGTTCTGTTACTGATCTTTTGCATGTTTGTTCTTTTTCTCCTTAGGGGGAGTTTCTCTGCCCTGTATGCCGTCGACTTGCAAATTCTGTGTTGCCTGCATTGCCAGGGTTGTTCGAGAAGGTCTCGAAGGAGTCTCGTCATTCAGGTGTTAGTTCATCACATGCTACTGGTCCATTGGTCAAATCAGGTGGAGAAATTAATTCTCTTCAGCTTCAGCAAGGCTTGGCTCTTGTGCAATCTGCAGCAAAGGCATCTGGGAAGGTTGGAAATCTTAAAGGTTTTCCCCTGCAGAGATGTGGAAGAATGACCTCAAACCTTGAAATTTCTCGTTTGCTCTGTAAGATGTATTTTCCGACTAAACAGGATAAGTTATCAGGATCTGCCAGGGTCAGCCACCCAATGCTCATGTGGGACACAATTAAGTACTCCCTATTATCAATTGAAATTGCTGCACGTTCTGGCGGGAAATATGCAACACCAAGCTATGACCTTAATGCATTGTATAAGGAACTTGAATCCTCGAGTAGATTTGTATTGTCTTTGTTGCTGAAAGTAGTCCAAAGCAAAAGTAAGAATTCTCTTCATATGCTTCAGAGATTTATAGGAATTCAGAGCTTTGCAGAATCTATTTGCTTTGGAGTTTCCATAGACCATGGTAGCGAAACATGTGGACAAGGTAATGTTATTGCTACCAGTGAGTGCCATTTATTTCATGTGTTTCTTGTGGCTATTTGCTTGTGGCTTTCTGTGGAGTTTTTTTCTTTCTTGCTTTCTGATTCACTAATCGCATGCAGTTAGAGTTAAATTTAATGAGTTATTGTCTACTTCCTTATTTATTTATTTATTAAAACATGAATTTAAAACATAATAGTTTGAGATGATCGGTAATGCTATGGAACCGAACTCTTTCTATCCAACCTACATGGCATTCTCACGTTGGGTTCTACAACATTGTTGTTTTATTAATGCACTGATGCCATGTATATATCAAGTGCTACATAGGTTGGAAAGAAGTTGTGAAAATTTGGGATAAGTAGCACCATCCTTTCTTATTATAATGTTGTGGCTAATTGATATCTTGGATCATATTCAAAGCTACCGAAGGGACTAATACTTGTTACAGTTTCATGTGTGCAAAATTTTACGTGTTATGCTTGCCAAAAACAATATAAGTTCAGGCATTTGTATATCACAAGTCATCTTGGTTCCTGATTTATTCCACTCTTACCAGTCATTAAATCCTCATCCATGCTATGTTTTACAGGGGCTATGTTGCGTATCTTGGAACATGTTGATATGGCTGTATCATATCCTGATATTCAGTTCTGGAATAGAGCATCTGATCCTGTCCTTGCTCATGATCCTTTTTCATCATTGATGTGGGTTCTTTTTTGTCTTCCATACCGGTTTTTATCATGTGAAGATTCCTTGTTATCCCTGGTGCACTTATTCTATGTTGTGTCTGTAGTTCAGGTACGTTATCTGTAATTATCTACTTTTATTATTTGGTTGATGCTTGAGTTCCATTATAATCATCTAGTGGCCTAATCCATTATGGCGAATGCAGGGTATAATTGCTTATCTTGGGAAAAATCAATGCGATATGAGTAAATTAGGTGTTGATGATTGTCTGGTTACTGATGTCTCTAAACTCATGGGAGAATCTGGATGCCCGCAGCAATATTTTGTTTCAAACTATATTGGCTCTTCTTGTAACAGTAATATTAAGAACATAGTTCGTAGCTTGAGTTTCCCTTATTTGCGGAGGTGTGCATTGTTGTTGAATTTACTAAACTATAATGCCCAAGCACCATTCTTTGAAAGGTATAATGTGTTAGATAGATCTCATGCCATTGGTGACATGATGGATACCACTTATGTGGCGCTGGTAGAGCTCAATGAAGTTCAGGAGATAGAAAGAATGTTCAAGATTCCTACACTTGATGTTATTCTTAAGGATAAAGTCGTGCGTTCAATGGTTCAGAAATGGTTCCGTCATTTTTACAAGGAGTTTGAAGTCCAAAGATTTAGAGGAAGCATACACTGTAATCCTGCAGTTCCCTTCCAGTTGATGCGTCTGCCCCGAGTTTACCAGGACCTATTGCAGAGGTTGGTTAAATTGCTTCTCATTTTGTTGCTGGAGTACTTGTTCTTTGAAAAAAATTTAAAAAAATCGTTCGAGAATTTAAACTCATTCAGAAAGATTGTGTTTTTTCAGGTATATTAAACAGCGTTGTCCTGATTGCAAATCCATCCTTGAGGATCCCGCATTGTGCCTGCTTTGTGGGAGATTATGCTCTCCAAGCTGGAAGTCGTGCTGCCGGTATATATATTTTCACCAATGTTTGTCATTATTTTTAAGAAAAGTGTCCCTCTAGGTGCATACATGTTTATGCCCTGTTGGGCCATTGCTCTGCCCATTATTGCTAAATTTGACATTGTATCTTTAGGGAAAGTGGATGCCAAACTCATGCATTGGCCTGTGGTTCTGGTACTGGGGTATTTCTGTTGATCAGGGTATGCATTGCAGTTCGTTTTTTATTTTTATTTTTTAAAGTTATGTTTCACAGCTGTCTCTTAAATCTTGTAAGTTTTTTACCTCTTTTCTTGTTTATGGAGATGGTTAATTTTCTTTTCTATTAGAGGACAACAATTCTGCTGCAAAGATGTGCGCGGCAAGCTCCCTGGCCATCACCGTACTTGGATGCTTTTGGGGAAGAGGTAACTAGTTCATACTACAGTAAATCACACAGAAATTCTGTTCCTCTGTTTCTTTCATCATCTTCCCTCGTAAACGATTTGCAATGACAAAATAATATGGATGGTGTAATTTATGGTCAGAACTTTAGAGTTTCGCATGGATAGAAAGAAGCAAAAGAAGGTTAAATTGATTACGCATTTAAGAGGACATAATTCCTTTGTTAATTGAGCTCCTTTCTGGATGTTTAGACATTTCCCCCTTTCTTTATTGCATACGGTTATTATGTTTTTCTTTCTCTGAATAAAATGCAAAAAGGCCTACGAAAAAATGAAGAAGTTGGAAGAAGTAACTGTGGATGCTCCTGTTCTTGTTTTTGTTCCTATTTGCATTAATTGATTTATAGGGGTCTTTATGTTTCTGTATTATTGTAAAAAAAATGATTGCAGGATGTTGAAATGCAAAGAGGAAAGCCGCTGTACTTGAACGACGAACGCTATGCAGCTTTAACTTATTTGGTGAGAATCTTTTGCTACATTTTAAGTCTGCATCATATTTTACCTAATGCAATAAATGTTGAAATTCGTTGCCACTTAACAGTTGCTTATGGTAATTTATAGGTAAATTCTTTCTTCCAAACAACTTACTTATCACTCATTTAAAAGTTGAATAAAAACTTTGGCCCTCCCTCTCACGCCCACTCCCTTCCACCCGCAGCCCTTTGCCCACCCCCACCATCCATGACATTGTCGTGGCCAAACCTGACAATGGTGTTATGTTGAAACTTTTTGAGTGAAGGCGACGTGTTGAGCAGTTCTGTTCTGTGTTTTCATAAAGAAGCATACCTAATTTATACGTTCCAATTGAAAAATATTCTTGTAGTGTTTAGTTTTATGGTAAATAGTTTATGTTGTTTTGCGTGGCAGGTTGCTTCTCATGGTCTTGATCGAAGTTCCAAGGTTCTTGGGCAAACTACTATTGGTTCTTTGTTCATTGTTTAGTTTGGATTTGAAGGTAAAGGCAATCATGAAAGTCATGAGTGTTAGTTCATTTTATTCAAGTTGCTGAATATTCTAGTTTGGCATCTCAGGCGGTATATTTCGTGACAGATTTATGCCGGGGGATGACAAAGGATTCTTGATAGTAACAGAGAATATCCAGTTCTGACAATAAATCTGCACCTTGCATTAATGGTTCAGTTTACCGCACATTGAGGTTAGTGGCTATGTTTTAAACTAACGTAAGTTCTGAACAATATGGAACGCCATAAAATTTCCGACAACTTTTTTCCTCTTTGCCTGTGACCTTACTTTTTTGGTTTGCTTGTTATAGATTATTTTCCTACTGTTTCTAAATATCTTGTCACCTACAATGGCAGATGGTTGGATTTTCCTCTCCGCATGTTGAAAATTTGGTTCCAAGGGAAGACCATCTGTCGGCAGGTTGTTCCGTTTGTTTTTTTTATGGTTGTACAGTTCAATATGATGCCTCAGGCTGAAGCCTGGCAGCATACAGGGTTGTGGAGTCATTGCGAAACAGTTGTACATAGATATTTTATAACATCAGTCACGAGCCACTGGTTAAGGTTAGAGTGGCACTTGCATGGAGAGGAACTCAGTCTATTCCTCTTGCTCTCTCCTTCACTTTGTGGAGTTATTTATTGTTTTGTTATTACATTCTTTTTAATTATCAGTGAGCTGAGGGGGGGAGGGGAAAGAGGGGGTGTGACTTCTGGAGCTGTTACGAGAGATTTCATACTGTTTTGGCTGGGCTTGGTGATAAATCCTTTGATGTCCCTTGAAGTTGCCAAAGCTAATAGTTTGAAAAGAAAAAGAATTGCCTTCAAGTTTAGGCTAGTAATTGCATTACAAATGTTCCTTAAAAAGGCCTAAAAACTGGTAGTCAACTTTTCTTCAATGTTCATGTTCAAAGTTTATTTTCATTTTTATATTTTTTTGAGTGCTTATACAACATAATCAGTAACTAGTGACTTTTCAGTCTGATGGACAAATATTGTCGTTCTGATGATAGACAAATTCAGTCTACCAATAATATAAGCATCTGACACCTATCTGGTAATATAAATATTACAAAAATAAATAAATAAATAAAGACTAAAAAGAAAACTTTGCACCTTTAATTGCATACTTTCTTTGGCACAATCGTGTCCTGTGCGTCTTCTAGCCTGAGAACTGTTGCGCGATTCAGCTTCGATTTTGGGCTTTTCATCGGACGCAGAAAGTCGCTTCTTTTGAAATATTTTGTACATCCTATTAAGCTAATTTCACAACCCAATTTCCTTCTTTTTCAGGGCTTTTTTTTATATAAAAAATCTAACATAATTGTGCATGAGAGATCCTTCAA